CTCCAAGACCTCCTTGCTGCTGCTGCTGCATTTGTTGCTGCTGCTGCAGCACGAGCAGCAGCAGCAGCAGCAGCAGAAGCAGCAGCAGCTTCTGCATCACCCCCCAGTCGATTAATACGTGCTCCTAAAACCCTCGCTAATGCCGGTGTAAGCCAGAGAGCAGCAGCAATCTGAAAAAGAAAGACAACAAGAATAAATAAATAAATAAATAAATAAATAAATAAATAGATAATATAGATTAGATTTTAGCATAGATAATCAATAGAAAGACAAACGAAAAAAAGAGAAAAAAGAAGACAGCGTCAAACCAAACATCAGAAGTGCTAGGGTTTAGGGTTTAGGGTTTAGGGTTTTATTCTTTCAAGGTTTAGGGTTTAGGGACTAAGGTTTAAACGTTTAAGCTGTAGGGTTTATGGTTTAGGGTTTAGGGCTAATTAGGGTTTAGGGTTTACGGCTAACTAGAGTTTAGGGTTCAGCGTTTAGGGTTTAGGGTTAATTAGGGTTTAGGGTTTAGGGTTAACTAGGGCCTAGGGTTTGGAGTATAGGGTTAATTAGGGTATAGAGTTTAGGGTTAATTAGGGCTTAGGGTTAATTAGGGTTTAGGGTGTAGGGTTTATGGTTAATTAGGGTTTAGCGTTTAGGGTTAATTAGGGTTTAGGGTTTAGGGTTAATTAGGGTTTAGGGTTTAGGGTTAATTAGGGTTTAGGGTTTAGGGTTTAGGGTTTTACCTGTAGAGGAGTCAACGCCTTGGCAGCGAAATATGCGAAGACAGCCGCGGCGACGAATTTACCTCGCTCTGAAATAAACAAATAAAATAAAATAAAATAAATAAATTAAATAAAATAAATAAAATAAATTAAATTAAATTAAATTAAATTAAATTAAATTAAATATATTAAATATATTAAATCATCAAACGAACAAATTAAACAAAAGAAATTGAGAAGAAACTGAAGTAAAAATAAAATATAATATTAATATAATATAATATAATATAATATAATATAATATAATATAATATAATATAATATAATAAGAATTTATATTAGTTTTTATAGAAGAAATATTTTAGGGTTTAGGAGAAGCAGTATTTGTGCAGTCTCTCCACAAACCCTAAACCCTAAACCCTAAACCCTTAGAAAACACCTAAACCCTAAACCCTCAGGGCGCTCAGCAGCAGCAGCAGCACCACCACCACGAGCACCAGCACAGCAGCAGCAACAGCAGCAGCCGCAACAGCAGCAGCAGCAACAGCAACAGCAACAGCAGCAGCAAATGCAGCAACAGCAGCAGCCGCAAC